AAATAAAAACAAAAATAGCGGAGCCTAAAACTAATGAACTCTTACAAATTAATGTAAGGTACATAATTTCAGCTAAAAAAGGAGTTACCTTCATCGATGCAGCGATCAGACTGTTTCATAAGTTCGCCAATGAAGATGACAGTGGAAGTAGTACCATCACCACTTATGTCATCTTGTGCCACGGCTGTCCTCGCAATCATAATGGCTGTTGGATTCTGAATTTGCTGCAACAGTTAGGATACAAGCGTGTAAGCATCATGAAAAACCAAGATAACTCCGTTGAGAGCAATACCAGTAACCATACTAACATCAAAGATTATCCGAGACGGCTACACTATCAATAAGGCTTTCGTCTTTCTTCTCTATCCCAATACTACCGAATCAGAATCCAACATTGGTCATGTGAACAACACTAAAAACTTATATATTTTTCAACCTAATACATCCTGCTGAAAGACGTCTACAGTCAACATGTACTCAATCAAATCATACTTAGTCTGTGAAGCATACCATAATCAATATCGAAACAATCCTCCTAGAATATAATACTACATGGCACAAGTCACAGGCTTTTAAGCACCCTTTCACCACTAAAACGCAATACAGAGCTTGAATCAAACAGATCACTTGGATCTAGATTTATGTTCTCAAACTAACCATTTCCTTCAAAAGCGTGTTCCCATCCTTGGTAAGCTTAATATCCCCCGAACCACCAACAAGCCTACATCGAAGTGAGAAACAAATCGGAAGGTAAGCCAAAAGAAACAACATCTAGGAAAATGAACATAGATCCAAATAAGTCAAAAAAGAGATAAATACATCTTGATTGTTCCTTTAGGACCGAGATTCGACTTGAGCACATCCTGCAAACCCTTGGCGGCGTTGATTGTCATATGAAGCGCCGCCGATTTGTTGAGAACCTCGGCATTAGGATTCAGAACTCGTACAGACATTTTTTCGATAACCTTGGCGTGAGCACACGAAGTGAGAAACTGGAGACTGAACTAGAGAGCGAGAGC